TAATTTGGTGACTCGGGGAGGTTTCAGGCACCGTGACGTTAAGCTAATTTGGTGACTCGGGATGTCTCAGGCACTGTGACGTTAAGCTAATTTGGCGACTCGGGGAGGTTTCAGGCACTGTGACGTTAAGCTAATTTCGCGACTCAGGGAACTTTCAGGCACTGTGATCTTAAGCTAATTTTGCAACGTGACGTTAAGCTAATTTCACGACTCGAGGGCTTTTAGGCACTGTGACGTTAAGCTAATTTTGGAACTGTTTTAACCTAGGCTGCAGGATTCTTCCCTGACTTGTCCCCTGATCTGCTATAACCTAGCAGTTGTTGGAGGATGGGTTATTTCTGATCCATCTTTTCCTGAGGGTGAAGACTTTGGCTCCTATTAAGACTGCCCATCTGCCCCGTCCCCTACAGAGACCCCACTGCTGAGACCCTGAGTGCCTTCAGGAGAAGCCTTCTGAGTACTGGTGTGGGGAGTCTGGCAGATTTCTTTAACCACAGCCTGAAAATTCCTGACTCCTGGGTGGGCTCTTCAGTACACAGGCATTGGCCTCCAGGACGCTGGCTGTGTTTGGTGAAGCAGGCCATGCTGCTGTTCCTGGTGGTGGTGACTCCCAGCCTTCTTAGTTCAGTTCTCAAGTGATTTGCACTACACAGAAGGTACTGGAGACACAGTTATCTTTTCTGGAAATCAATGTTCGTGACCATGTGCCCCCCAAAGGTGCAGTACGTTCGAAGTGGTTGGAGATTTGTTTGTAAACCACACTCTTCTGCAGAACGAGAACGAAGTTGCTCTTGGTTTTGAAGACACTGCCTTTTGTGGGAAGGTAGAAGAACAGAAACATCAAAGCTTGGATTTAGAGTTAAGGACAGGAAAATAATTATGAATATTAAAGACTGAGTTAATACGTATCACACGACAAACACTTTGCATATTACATGTAACATAATAAGCTATTCTATGGGACAGACTTCACATTTCAGGACATCACTTGGTAACATTTCAAGGCATTTCTAATAAATACAATGTTAAAGTTAATATTGGGCCAAAATTTGATTAAGGTGGGAGATGAACACCCAGGTATTGTCTGGATAATCAAAGCCAAAACTAGGCTTTGGTATTTATTTTCTGTAGAATATAAGTAGAAACTATATAATATTAAACATCCAAACCTAGCCCAATGTAAAACACAGTTCTCCACTTAATACAAAATTCACAGAGTGCACTGTGGTGCCACAGCTTGGATCCCGGAGCAGAAGTGCAGGGTGGATGTCAGCTCGGCACTCAGCTCCAGACTCCAGACTGTGCAGCTCCCACTCCCATGCACAGTTCTTCCCTGTGTACAAACCTTGTCAGGGTTTCGCTCTAGTCCTCAGTACAAACGCCACGGAGCTGCTGCTTAACTGCTTGTCTGGTCTGATCTTAAGAAGCAGAATTTGATTTGAGCCCTGTGGTGCCCTGAGACCCAGACCATGTCGTTGGGTGTGATCTTCCTGGGTCTTTAGCAACGTGGCTGATGTTTGCAGATCCTCTGCCACGGGCCCTGCTGTCAGTCCAGCCCAAGAGCAAACATGAGTCAAGTGGTCAGTACGTTGCAGGTAACCATAGGCCAGCCGTGGTGGCAGCCATGGGTGACAGCTGTGGGTGAACAGCTGGGACTCCTTCCCTGTGGGTGGCAGCCGTGGGTGGCAGCTATGGGTAGAAAGCTGTGGGTGGCAGCCGTGGGTAGCAGCTGTGGGTAGCAGCCATGGGTGGCAGCCGTGGGTGGCAGCCGTGGGTGGCAGGCGTGGGTAGCAGCTGTGGGTAGCAGCTGGGACTCCTTCCCTGAGCTCACTTTATTCAACCAGGAGCATCAAAAACAGTGTGTGCATCCAAACCACTGTGAATCCCCACACTGTAAAAACGAAAACTTTAAGCATCACCTATATTGTCCACTTTGCCCTCAATGCTTTATCCATGCGAGAGTGAGCAGATGTAGGGCACAGCCCCACTCCTCCAACCACCAACCAATGGCAGCATCGAGCACAGTCGGCTTCTCAGACGCAGGACGAAAGAATATGGGAGACAGGGCCACGCAGGGTCAGTCTCACCAACTGCCCGAAAACTCGCAGAGGCCCAGCTGAGGAACCAGCCAGTAGCATCGACACCACTGCTTCCCATCAGCATAACTAGGGGTATTTACTGAGCACCTACTGCATGTTAGGCTTTTTCTAGTTATTTTTGACCAATGACAATATCAGTAAAGGAAATTGATTATTTTAATAGAATCCCTTTGAATGTAACATTTAGATTGTACAGGCTAAGAAATCTTAACTAAGCCTTATGTCTTAAAGTGCTGGCTGTATTTCTAGGTAGGAATTCTTACGTCTATATTCTACAGTATACGCAAGTTTTCTAAAAAGTAATACTTGCAAACAATTATGGATTAAAATAATTTTTTCTTTTCAAACACCCAGGCAACTTTAAAATTTTCAGTAAGTCAACAGTTTTAGCAGTCTATAAAGTCTTCTGCCAAATTTTGAAGATCATTAGAGCTAGCTGAGTACAGAGCACCTCAGCCACCTCAAGCGTGGCAGGGGAGGAAATAAATAAAAATATTTTGGTTTCACTCACATGTTATTACTTCCAGATCTGATTCTTTCTCTCAGACTGGCAGCCATTAAATCTCACTAATATTCAGAGCAAATTTCACATGAAATGCCCTATATCTCTTCCTCACATAGGCACAGCTGGACAGTGAGTTCCCATCCATGGATTCTGCATTGCAGTCTAATGTGATGAGCACTGTCATGGGATGGAGGCCAGAGTTCCGACGTGAAAATGACACTGCTGTAAACCCTCTGATCCTGTCACCTCCAACACTGTGCGTGTGGCCTCAACAGAGATGAAATGACCAACAGCTATCCTCGCATTACGTTCACTTTGTTAGTCTCAGGAAAAACCCATCCCAACCAGATTAAAGCAATGAGAGAGGATGGCTTAAAATAGCTAAGCCTTTGCATAACTAATCCTCAAGTCAACGAAAAAGATTAGTGAAGATCTACCGCCCGACCTTCAAACAAACATTTTGGAGTTGTCCAAACCGTACAAATTATTGAGCCCCGCAGCCGGTTCCTGGCTCAGCCCCAGCCCACAGCAGCCTGCCTCCTCTTTCCTTTGGACAGCACAGATGCTGCTGTGTCCTTTGCCAAGGACTTCCTGGCAGGTGCAGTGGCCGCAGCCGCCTCCAAGACGGCAGTAGCACCCATCAAGTGGGTCAAGCTGCTGCTGCGGGTGCAGCATGCCAGCAAGCAAGCAGATCACTGCAGATCAGCAATTGAGGGCATTCTGAACAGCGTGGTCCATATTCCCAAGGAGCAGGGAGTCCTGTCCTGGCACAGTAACCTGACCAATGTCATCAGATACTTCCTCACCCAGGCTCTTAACTTCGCCTTCAGATATAAACACAAGCATGTCTTCCTGGGTGATGTAAACAAGAGGACCCAATTTTGCACTACTTTGCAGGGAGTCTGGCATCAGGTGGTGCCACTGGGGCCACATCCTTGTGTTATGTGACCCTCTTGATTTTGTCCGTACCCACCTAGCAGCCGATGTGTGTAAAGCTGGAGCTGAAAGAGAATTCCCAGCCCTCAGAGACTGCCTGGTTAACAGCTACAGATCTGGTGGGATTAAGGGTGTGTGCCAAGGCTCTGTTGTGTCTGTGCAGGGCATTACCATCTACCAAGCTGCCTACTTGGGTATCTATGACACTGCAGAGGGAATACTTCTGGATCCCTAGAACACTCACACTGTCATCTCATGTGACCGCACCATCACTGCCATTGCTGGGTTGACTCCTATCCATCTGACACCATTCACCGCCACATGATGATGCAGTCAGGGCGCAAAGGAACTGACATAATGTACATGGGCATGCATGACTGCTGGAGGAAGACTGCTGACATCATGTACACGGGCACTTGGGAATACTGGGGGAGGACTGCTAACATGTACACGGGCATGCTTGACGGCTGGAGGAAGACTCTGACATCATGTACAGGGGCACACATGACTGCTGGAGGAAGACTCTGACATCATGTACA